TGTGGTTAGTTTGTTACTCAGGCGCAGACAGGGCGCTGCACGAGACAAAAGAGGAATATAGCGACAACAACCGCTCTTTAGTGTAGATGCATGCTGATTTTATCAGACGATGCCGTGATTATAAATGAGAGTGACTCCTGGGTAACATGTATTAAAGGGGGTCGTGTTTAGTCACTATTTAGTGTGGTATTTTTTGACAGTATTCACTCATCATGACAGTAAAATAGGGCATTCTAAGTCAATATACTGCAGTATTTCCTCTCAATCAGTAGAAAATATGGTTAACACCCGGTCATGCCTGAAAAAAAATACCGTCATGTACCGTGAAACCGGTATCATTTTGAAAGATACCGTGATATACATTTTTGGTCATACCGCCCAGCACTATGTGTAGTATAAATAGGCACTTTTTTTCTGCACTGTCCACATTTTCACGCAATGTCTGTCTATGCATTACCGCCAATGCGTGAATTCTCATTAAATCTCACGTGTCAGGACTCGATTTAAAAACTTCCCGAAGGCACAAGGCGAGACTGAATAACATTTGTAACATTAATAATGATTAATCTGTATTTAATGTATACAGTTAAGACTATGCAGTGTAACTTTACATTTGATTATTAAATTTCTGTACCTGGAAATTTCCTTTAGACCTACCGGAAAAACCTGAAAAGCACTGTTTATCTAATTTGTGTCTTTGTTCTATTGTATTTATATTATACTATTGCTTGTAATATATTATTTATATATATATATATTTGGACACGGGCACACTTTTTATTATTTTAGCTGTTGACCAAAACCTATTCTATTTACAGTTATATAATGAATATGGGCTTAAAGTGCACACTCTGAGCTTTAGTTTGAGGGTATTCTCATCACAATTGGAGGAAAGGTTAAGGAGTTACATCTCTTTAACCCTTTAAACCCAAGGACACCTCCCACACGAAATCATTCATAATCAAATTACTAAGCAACCCCTGAATAGAATAACACGAGATAGGTATCATTTCAAAGCTTAGATTCTCAGCTTTTTAATGTGTAATCATTTTGATCAACTCTTAACAAGCGCTGAGCAGTCCCTCTAAACCGAAGTGTACCCCCCCCCGTCGTGAAAATATTACTAATCATATTTTTCAAACCACTGCCTTGATCAACTAAAAGTTTATATAATTTGTAAAGCTTAGAGTCTGAGCTCTACAATGCATGTAGCATGTACTTTGATTAACTCCAAAGTAGTGCAGAGTTATTTGCTGATAAATGACAAAAAATTCATAATTTACAAAAGTTTTTTTTGTGCCATGTACTCTAATATGTGAAAAAATATCATACAGCTCAGATAGTCATGTGTCATGTCATTTGAAAGGTCTCATCGAGTATAAAAAACAAGCATAATTCTTTGGGGCTTTGAATAAACTGCAGTGAGTTTTTGTACAAGAAGTCACCCCCAGACCCATATGAAAATAATATATAGATATCACCTTTTTGCTTGTAACTTCATTAAACATGATCAGATCGTGGAAACATACCATTATTATTTAGAGCAGATTCTCCTGATTAAAAAGAGCCCGTCATTTATATCTAAAGATTTTCCTCATGAATTTATAACGCATATGAAACTGCACAGGCGGCATGTACAGGGATCCACGCTAAGGATTTTTTTCACTGGCTTTAAATTTTCACTGGCCCTGCCACAAAAGATAAAATAGTTGCTGTTATCATGGTTTTTGATCTGTTATCTTGTACTCTAATAAATAAGCTTATATGACACCAATATTTTAGATACCAATTACTAGAGCCCGACCGATATATTGTTTTGCCGATATTATCGGCCGATATTAGCCATTCGCCGTATTGGCGAATATGCCGCCGATATGACACTTTTTTTACAGAACATATAACGCAGATAAAATGCTTGGAATGGTGTAATTACGTAGTTTGTCCAGCAGAGCGCGCTCCATTGTTTGCTACTGGTGACCTGGATGAAACACTTTAAAGCTTAGTCTATGGAAAACCATTGAAACTTTGAACGGCCATATCTCCGTAACGGCGTGGCGAATCCGCACCAAATTCGGGGGATCCCTTCAGCTCCAGGAACCCTCTCGAATGTGAATTGAGTGTACGTCTAGAGGCCCGCTTTCTAATGAGAC